CCCCCCCCCCCCCCCCGCCAGCCCTTTAACATCTTTATGGAGGCTGTTTTTAAAAAGTGTCTTTTCGGGGCGCCTGGGTGGCTCAGTCAGTTAAGGGTCTGACTTCGGCTCAGGTCACGACCTCATGGTTTGTGGGTTCGAGCCCCGCGTCGGGCTCTGTGCTGACAGCTCAGAGCCTGGAGCCTGTTTCAGATTCTGTGCCTTCTTCTCTCTCTGACCCTCCCCTGCTCACGCTGTCTCTCTCTCTCCCTCGCTCTCAGAAATAAATAAAACATTTAAAAAAAAAGTGTCTTTCATTCACTCAGATCATCTCTTTGAAAACCTCTACAAAGATCCCTTGAAGTCCTTCGGCCCGTCTCGCAGGTGAGGAAGTGCAAGGCCACCCCGCTAGAGGGCCATCCCTGACCCCCAGGCCCGCGAGGCCGTTAACTCCCCAGAGAGGAAAAAGCGGAGGGCGCGCGGGGAGGCAGATCCGCCGGGAAGCGAGCGCCCCGTGACTCTGGGTCGTCCGGCCAGTCGGTCTGGGGGGAGGGGAGCAGCGTGCGGGAGGCGGCGTGGGGACGGGGAAGGGGACACCGCGGTGCGGCGGGGGGAGCGCCTGCCGCCGAGTCCCCGCTCCCCGCTCCTCGCGAGCTCGGGAAACGCGGCGGCGCCTGGCCCCGTGCGGCCGCCGTAGAGTCCCCGTTGCCATGGCTCCCGAGGTCCGGGGCGGACGCGCGGAGGCGTGACCGAGAAGCGCGCGCGGAGTCCTGCGGCGCCGAGCTTCTGCCGGGGCCCGCGAACCCGAGAGGCGCCATGGGCCGGAGTAAGCGTCCCCTCCTACCTGCCGCCCTCGACCGTCCCCCTTCCGGGCATCGTCCCACGTCCCAGGGGACCCAGAGCGCCGCCGCCCCGTCCCGCGCGCGCCCCCCAGCCCTCCGCAGGCCCCGGCCGTGCCAGCCCCTCCGCCCACCCTGCGCGCGCTCAGCTTCCTTTTCTGTAAAACGCGGTGGGCGAGAAGGGCGCGGGGCTTCCTGATGCGGTGGGGACGGAAGGTCCCGGGGTAGTCACCGTGTCAGAGCGACAGCCTCCAGGCTCGCCCGATCGGCGGTGTGGCCGGCGGTGGAGGGAAGCGACGCCACAGCCCACCTCCCTCCCCTGGCGGCCTGGGGACCGGTGACTTCGCCCATGGGGGTCTCAGCCCCATCTCCAAAACGCAGGCAATAGTAGCATCGTTTTACCGACTTGGTTAAGTGTTCTAAGTGTTTAAAAACACACCGGCAGAAGGTGCAAAGCGATGGGATTAACATTTATTTGCGTGCGAACCCCGTTTTCGACTTTCTTACATGACAGTTTTGTACACTTCAGCCTCATTGCTCACTTACTGTAAAAGTTCTTAAGGAATATTTTTAAATCAAAGGACTGTGCTTGGTGATGAGGTTTCTGCCGTGGAAGAGCTGACAGCCAGGGGGTGGAGGGGGTGGGTGATTTGTTAATGTAAAAGCCCCATTCCTAAGGCAGGTATGGGTATGTCTTCTCACACCCCTTTCTAAAACAATAGACAAAAACTTAGGCAAACGTTAATAAAAACTGAAACTTGGTTTCCCACCCATGTAATCCTTAGCTATTACAAAAGAAAAAGGGCCACCTTTGTCTACACACAGACTGTATGACTGTTTAGAGCAACTGCTTTCATAGTGGCTAAAAATGGAAACACCCCAAATATCCTTCAACATTTGTTAATGGATTAACAAGTTGGGAGCTGGATGTGGGCATGGCAAGCTGCCCCCCACGTGCCCCCACTGTGATAAACATACCTGGCAACACTTTCTTTCCAGATGTTGATGGCAGCTTAAAGCCTGTGTCCCACAGGCGCCCAGTTGATTTGGTTATTTCCCCCTTCCACCGGGATTGTGATTCAAGTACATGGCCAGCAGCCCTTTTGGAAAAAATTGGATGAATCACTGCCAACTACTCTTGGGGATTCAGCCTCTCTTTTAGACAATGTGTTGTCAAATAAAATACAGGACACCCAGTATTTTTATTTGCTAAAATCTGGCAATCATAGTTTCCTGTCCCAAAACTCACTGAGGTCTGGAGACCGGGCAAGAGATTGTGAATTTTTATTGAGGCAATTGTCCTTAGTCTTCCGGTCATCAATCCTTAATGTCGTTTGATTGCACAGATTGAGTAAAACCTTTGTTGTCTGAGCATCTATATTGTCCTTAAGAATGTCATGCTCTGTTCATCTCCATTGCCATCCAAGGATGTAAACCCTGGCCTACATTCAGGTAGACCCTGGTGGCTCAGTTGGTTAGGCATCTGACTTCAGCTCAGGTCACGATCTTGCAGTCTCTGAGTTCGAGCCCTCAGAGCCTGGTGCCTGCTTCAGATTCTGTGTGTCTCTCTCTCTGCCCCTCCCCCAATCACACTCTCTCTCTCTCTATCTTTCTTTCAAAAATGAATTAATGTTTAAAAAAAATTTTTTTTAAAGTAGTGTTTGTGTATACCAGGTATTATTTTTCCTTAAATGTTTGGTAGAATTTATCAGTGAAGATTTCTGTGCTATGGTTTTCTTTATGGGAAGGTTTGAACTACATATTAAACTACTGTAGTAGATACAGAGATGTTTGATTTATCTGTGTCTTCCTGCATGAGCTTTGGTCGTTTGTGTCTTTTAAGAAATTTTCCCTTTCAGGGGCACCTGGGGTGCTCAGTCAGTTGGGCGCCCAACGTGGCTCAGGTCATAATCTCACGACTCATGGGTTCGAGCCCCGCATGGGGCTCTGTGCTGACAGCTCAGAGCCTGGAGCCTGCTTTGGATTCTGTGTCTCCCTCTCTCTCTGACCCTCCTCTGCTCACGCTGTCTCTCTCTCTCTCTCTCTCCCTCTCGCTCTCTCGCTCTCAAAAAAAATTTTTTTTTGCCCTTTCAATCTAAGTTCGTGAATTTATTAGCGTAGTTATTTATATTATTCTCTTACTAGCCTTTAATGCTAATACTATATAATCTATATGATGTCATGCTTTTGTTCCTAATAATGGAAATTTATGTCTTCTCTCTTTTTACTGATTAGTCTGGCTAGATGTTTACCAATTTTATTTTTTATGTATTTTTATTGACTTTCTCAATTGTTTTTGTTTCTATTTCACTGATTTCTGGTATAATCTTTGTTGTTTCCTTTCTTCTGCTTAGTTTGGGTTTAATTTATTCTTTTTCTAGCTTCTTAAGGAGGAAGCTAATATTTGAGACCTTTTCCCTTTCCTACTATAGGCATTTAGTAGTGTTAATTTCCCCTCCCCAACTTATGTTTTAGCCATATCCCATGCATTTTGATAACCTTTTTTAAAATCTTTATTTTTGAGAGAGAGAGAGACAGAGTATAAGTGGGGGAGGAGCAGAGAGAGAGGGAGACACAGAATCCAAAGCAGACTCCAGGCTCTGAACTATCAGCACAGAGCCCAACACGAGGCTTGAACTCATGAACTGTGAGTTCATGACCTGAGCTGAAGTTGGACACTTAACCAACGGAGCCACCCAGGTGCCCCTCCTTTTCTTTCTTTGTTCAGTTCAAAACACTTTCTTTTTTTTTTTTTACAAATAGTTTATTGTCAAATTGGTTTCCACATAACACTCAGTGCTCATCCCCACAAGTGCCCTCCTCCATGCCCATCGACCCCCCCCCCCGCATCCATCAGTCCTCAGTTTGTTTCTCAGCATTCAAGAGTCTCTCATGGTTTGCCTCTCTCCCTTTCCTCCACCATTTCCCCCCTTCTTCTCCCCCATGGTCCTCAGTTAAGTTCCTCCTAATCCTCCTATACGTGCAAACATATCATATCTGTCCTCTGCCTGGCTTATTTCGCTCAGCATAACACCCTCAAGTTCCATCCACATTGCTACACATGGCCAGATTTCATTCTTTCTCATTGCCATGTAGCATTCCATGGTATAGATAAACCACATCTTCTTGATCCATTCATCTGTTGATGGACACTTAGGCTCTTTCCATGTTTTGGCTTTTGTTGAGAGTGCTGCTATGAACATTGGGGTACATGTGCTCCTATGCATCATCACTCCTGTGTCCCTCGGGTAAATTCCTAGCAGTGCTATTGCTGGGTCATAGGGGAGTTCTGTTGTTATTTTCCTGAGGAACGTCCACACTGTGGTTCAAAACACTTTCTGATTTCCCTTTGGGTTTCCTGATGTCCAGCATTTGGTGTGTGTTTTTGTGGGGGTTTTTTCTCCTATATTTCCTTCTTGGGTTTTCCTGTCCTTATGACTCCATCTTGTCTGGAATATGAAGTCCCTGCTCCTCGTATGATTCATGTTCTCTGGCCTCTCTACCCTCTGGTTTCAGGAAGCAAACCTCTTTATGTGCTGCCAGTGTGGTGCTCTGGCTTTTTTTAAATGTCCGGTTAATCACATCCAGCCTTTCCTTACCAGCAGTGGCAGCAGCAACATGCGCTCTATACAACCCTCCTTTGAGTTAGTTTCCGTTGTATTTCTCCACTGCCTGAGGCGTCATGTCACGCTTGCCAGTGCGATCTCTTCCATTAGTATCCTATTTGCTATAAGTTGAATATCCGTGTCCCCCCAAATTCATATCCTCCATGTGACGCTTTTAGGAGGTGGGCCTTTGCAAGGTGATTAGGTCGTGAGCAGGGAGCCTTCATGATTGGGATTATTGCCCTTATGAAGGAGCCCCCAGAGACCTAGCTTACGCCTTCCACCATGTGAGGTTATCGTCAGTGGGGAAGCAGGCTGTCCCCAGACACTAGATCTGCCGGTGCCGTGACCTTGGACTTAGATCCTCCAGCTCTGTGAGAAATAAACGTTTCTTGTTTATAATCCACGTCCTTTATGGCATTCGTGTTATAGTATTCCAGATGGGTTGTTGGGTCGACACTGTAGTGCAAGTGTTAAACGTTGCCCAGCTACCTTGTGCCCAGCTCTATCGGCACTCCACCTACCGCCAGTAATGGTGTTCTCATTGCCATGCAGGCAGCAGACTCCGACTCCAGAGGCCCATCTTGGCCAGCGTCTGCTTTCACGTCCCACTTCTGGTATCAAGTCTTCCAGGTTGGGTTCCCCGGGTAGCAGACTTTTCCATGCAGATTAGTATGCAGGAGGTTCATTCTGGAGTCACTGGAGTGGGTTGGGATGGAAGCAAGCCTGGGTAGGAAAGGGCGTTGGGCGGTGATGCATTTTAAGAAGCCAACCTGCATCCTCGGAGCTCTAAACTGGGAATGGACTTTCTAATTTTCCCAAGCTTGGGTGAGAGGTGCTGGGCCTTTATGGCCCCTCATCGGCCAGTCATTGGATATGGGCTTTCCCGGGAAGGGCTGTGACATTGGTTGAGATGTCATTTTGGCTGAGTGACTTAGAAGAAAGTGGGCAGCTGAGGGCGGTCTGCTGGCACCACTCGCAGCAGCTAGAGGAACTAATCCTTCGGTTTCAAAGGAGGGAATTGGACTGTTGGGAACCATTTCTGAACTCACCAGTTGAGAAAACTCCTTGTGAGGTTAAGGTAAGTTTGCAACGCTCTTGTCATCAGATGATGACCAATATCCACCCTCACTCCGTTATTTCTGCTTGAGCACCGACCCCCAAGGTAGCTTGTTGATTGGTTCGGGAGGGACTTGTCCCCTTATTCTGGCCCTGGTATCATGATTGCACCTTGTGAAGGAAAGTATTGTGAGAACTTCTTCTCTTATGATTATGGGAACAGACTTTGTGTCTCTGGCAGGTCCTGTTTTCCTCGAGCTATCAACAGGCTCATGACCCTTACTCATCAAAGATTGACCTTTATGTGTACAATTCTGTTTTCT